CCCCATACATATATATGTAGAACAGGGAATATTTTATGTATAACATAATTTTTATATATATTTTTAGTTCTATAATAATTTAAATTTTTAAGAACTATTTCCATTGCCTTGGTGGGATGTTGGTGTAGAAAAGTCAGCAAAGCACAATACCATTTGAGCGTGCCACTCACATACATCAACAGCCCCATACCTTCTGCAGGAAGAACTAGCCCGGCACCTCTCAAACTGGCATGTGCGCAGGAATCACCTGAGACTTTGTTAAAATGCATATTTTGATTAAATAGGTCTGAGGTGGGGACAAAATTCTCTGCCTGTAATGGGCTCCCAGTTGATGTGGTCGCTGCTGGGCTGAGAACTAAGATGTAAGTAGCCAGGGCCTAGCTCAGCACTGCCTAGGTGAACTCTAATGCAGGCAAAGGATTACATTTAAATTTATCTAGCAGCTATAGTAAAAAAAGCGAAAAGGAACAGCGAAGTTCATTTCAATGAAATAATTGATTTAACCCAATATATCCAAACTATTATCATTTTAACATGGAATCAATATGAAATTTATTAGTCATATAGCTTACATTCATCTATTCATACTTACTCTTTGGAATCTGATGTGTGTTTTGAATTTACCTACACTCCAAGTGCTTAGTAGCTACATGTGTGGCTAGTGGCTACCATGGAGGACAGCCTAGGTGTAGTTGGGTAAGACATCCAAGCTCATCCCCAATAAGTTACTAAAGTATTCGGTTATGATCTATCTTTTAACACCATAGCCAGCATACCATTGCCCTGGCAAGCAATTCTCTCAAAGAGATTTTGACCTATGAAGTAAAAAGCTTCAAATTGGAATTCTTTTTCTCCAGGCCATTTGTTTTCAGGGTGGTTTTGCCTCTGAACAAAGCTCCCATTATCTTTCTCTGATATGTGTGAAGAGACCTAGGCCTTTGCTTTCCCATCACAGGGACCTGGTTTGGGGGATGCAGGAGGCATTTCATTTTGCCATTAGTATTACAAGTAGAAACTCGGTTCAGGGTTGACTGGTAAAGGCCATCATTAGAATTATCAAAGATTAGAGCTAGAAGGGAATGCACATCAGATCATTGGAGGAAACTGAAATTAGAAGATGTCACTCTAGACCCAGAATGAACCGGTGGCAGAGTTGAGTTCTGTAGATCCCAAGGCGATAAAGGCTCTTTGACCCCCTCTCAGAGTATGATCCAGAGTCCAGCAGCCGGAGCTTCACCGGGGAGCTCCTTCACAGTAAAGTCACAAGGTCCACCAGACCCACTGATCCAGAATCTTCATTTTTAACAAGACCCCCTGGGCGACCTATATGTGCAGTGAATTCTGAGAAGCTCCTGGCCCCTGGGCTTTGGAGCCAGCATGGATGCTCCATGTGACCTGAGAGCCTTTGCTTCTGTCCTTGGGGTGGTTTTGTTGGCTTTGTGCTATTGTCCTAGGTCCCCCTGCTTTGGGAGAATAGATTTTGCAGTGCCTTCAAGTTCTTTTATTATTTTGCTCAGATCAACACCTGGTTTGAATGGTTTCTGGAACCCTGCTGATCTAAACAAACATTGTTCCTGCTACTTGTAGTTCACGCCTGCCTGTGTGCTACAGAGGCCTTTTTAGTTGCCGTTTGCCATAGCAACAGTCAGTCCTAGAAGTCCACGCTAACCACCCACGAAAAAAGGCTTGTTAACCACATACTGATATTTAGCCACCTGAACTTCTGCCAAATGACACTTCTGTAGACCCGTTTCCTGGCTTCTGTGAACTCATCATATTACAAGGAACAGTAAGACTAGGATGAGCTTAAGAAGCTGGCTCTGGGACCAGGTTAACTAGGCTCAGATCCTTGCTCTTGAGCTATGTGACTCAGACATAGTTTGCCTCTGTGCCTCATTTTCTTGATCTGTAAAGTGGGAATAATACCAAAATCTCTGCTCTGAGAATTGTCGTGAGGTTTGCATGTGTTATTACGTGGAAAGGGCTTTATGCACTACCTTTCTCATTCAGAGCTTCGACGTGTGTTAGCTGTTACGATCACAGGGTCGCAGAATTTAGGACTGGAAATGGAACTTAGGAAGAGCTTCCCACCAGCTCATTTTTCAGATGAAATGAAGTCAAGGAGTCCAAAGAACTCACCTAAGACTACACAGCAGGCTTGGCCAAAGTCTGGCCTAAAACTCAGACCTTCTGATTTCCATGTGATGGTGCTCACTCCAGCCATGCCCTGGGAAGATGGCTCCATTCAGTAAATCCTGTAACTATTTTGCCCTCCGTGGCTTGATTGCAGTCAGTCTTGGTCCATTCTGTGTTCTGAAATCTGTACTCATGAGTAGGAAGTATATGTGTGTGTGTGTTTGAGGCAAGGGGTGTACAACTTAAAGATTTTTTTTCTAGTGTCATTCCAACTGAAATTTAAGATCAGCTAGCCAAACAAGTAAAATAATTCTGTATTGAATTGTCAATTCAAACTCAATACTCTTTAAGCCTGCTCTTATTGAAGAAACTAAATGTTTCAGTTTCTTGGAACTGTTACTAGGAATTTTATATTTCATTAATAGTATAATGTATTAATATAAATCTTGCTATCTAAACTAGACAGCCCATATTGTCAGAGCATGTCCTATTGGCTGATTGACACTAAGAGAAGATACTGAAAAAACTTTTCCAGTATGTACACATGTACGTGGACAGTCTTGCCCACTTCCTGATTTTAAAACTTATCTGTATTATTCCAGGTCATAACAGTGACCGTCTCCAGCACTGGCAGCATTTTCCCCATCACCGCCACTTGTTCCTATTCCTCTGAATGTGTTATCACCCCTAACAGAACACACAACCAATCACAGTGACAGGGTTTGTACAAAATACACACAGATGTAATTACCTCAGGTCAAAATGATATCGATGGCGCAGTTCACTCACTACATCAGGGCAAGTGAGAAATGCAGGGATCTCCTGGAGTACTGGAAATGGCGTTTGTGGCACCTTGTGGTACCTCTAATGTGAGTACAGCTTAGGAGCCTAGAATCTTATTGGAACGGCCCTCTTAGCCAGCTCTGTTCCTGGTCAGTTTATCTCAAAAGTCAGTTAAAGCAAGTCATCATTTTTTAAAATAACACATACATGCCTTAAACTCTTTATTCTAACTTGAAGAATATGAATGTGATTCGATCGTTCGTCGGTCCTTTAATGTTGGGGCCGATGTGTGTTCATTCAATATGAGTGCTTTGATTGGGGCCCATGTATGTTTTTTGTCTGTAACTCATCTATAAGGTATCACCTAAAATACCCAGTTTGGTTTTTTGAAAGTAGAACTGAGACTTCAGAGACACTCAGGAAGCAATGAGAGTAGAGATAGAGTGTGACTTCTTTCCTAATCATTTAGCTGTCTTGTTCACATGGAGCTCAAGAAAAAATATTTTAGCAGCTCGCCTTTAAAGAAAGTTTTCCAAAATACTCAGCTAGAGAAGCAGCAACCTTTCCTTCCCGCAGGCATGCTTCATTGGTGCATGTAATTTTTCACTGTGACCAGTATATAATGCGGTTTGGGAACAAACCTAAGTAGCTCCCGGGCAGCATGCAAGGTGAAAGCAAAAGGGGTCACACACATTGGGAGGAGCCCGCTCACGGAGAGTTCCCCACTCAGGGTGTTTTGCTTGTTTTATGAACATCTGACAGATCTTGGTCTGACCAGTGACATATAAGTTAAGAAAGTATTTAGTACAGAACTTGTGTGGGAGTATTTATCCTAAGAAATTCTTAAGTCTGTTCTTAATTCCTAGGCTTTTATGACACTTACAGTCTGACTATTTGGAAAAAATTCACTTAGCCAAATATTTAATTCAGGCAAATGGGCGAGCTTTCGGCCTCATGCCCTCACCATAGAGCGCCAGCTCTCCCGCGGAGGAAACTCTCCTGACCTTGGGCCATTTTACCTTCTTTGTGCCTCTACTTCCCAAAGTGGTTGTCTAATGTGTGTGTGTGTGTGTGTGTGTGTGTGTGTGTATTTCTTTCTTTCTTTCTTTATTTCAAGTGGATGTTTTAAGAATCAATAATTTTTTTACATGAAATCTTGGCTTCTTAGAGTTGAGGTTTCAAATTAACACAAAGTATTTTTAATTGCACATGACTGTGAAAATATGATTGTGCTTTTTTTCAGTAAAAGATACCACCAGTGTCAAAGCCATCCGTGCAGCTCAGCTTGTATTTTCTCCAGCTGCCCTGTCTGCTTCAGAGCAGCAAGCTCGCCTTGCCGCGGTCCCTCCATGCCTTTTTAGAAGATCTGAGCTGTGTTCTACAGGCCTTTC